TAGTGTTATGTAGTTTTCTTTGTATAGGTTCTTTGTTTCTCTGGTTACATTTATTCCTAGATATTTCATCCTTTGGGTGGCTATTGTAAATGGTATTGTTTTCCTAATGTCCTTTTCGGCACTGTTGTTATTGATATAGAGGAATCCAACTGATTTTTGAACTTCTTTTCAGGATGTTAGAGAAATTTTCTTCCAGCAGCTAGTCAACTATTTCCTCAGTGGACTCGTGTGATTCTTCCTGTTCTGGAATGCCAATAATTCTTAAGTTATTCCTCGTCATGTTGTCCTATGTGAATCTTAGACCCTTTTCAGAATTTTTTATCCTTTTTTCTGTTTGCTCTTCTGTCTTAATGGTATTGAGAGGTTTGTCCTCCAGTTCACTAGTTCTGCCTTCCATCTCTTCAATTCTACACCTTTGCCTTTCAGTGTATTGTCTGTTTCTGATATTCTATAACTAATCCTTTGAACCTCTTTCTGTAGGTTTTAAATTGTTTCCAATCCTGTATCGATCTTATTTGATTGCTTCTGTAGTGCTTTCCTGACTTCTTCTTTACTTTCCTCAACTCTGCTGTAAAGTGTTTTGAAACATTTTATAATCATTTTTTTCTGAATTCCTTCTCAGGCATTTCCAAGGCCTGCCCTACTTTCAGAATGATATCCAGGTCTACCTCTAGGTCATTTGTCTCAGACATTTTATCTTGTTTCTGGACATGTGCTGATATGGTCATCTGCTTTTGCTTCTTGGACATGTTTAGTGTTTAATTGTGGCCTTAATCCTTACTTGAGTGTGTGTTTTGGTATTTTTATGCTTTCTGATTGCCTCTAGGTAGATGTTATCAGGAGGTGGGCTTACCTTTCCACTTTTCTTATGCTTAACTGAGAGTACTTTGACAGTTGTTGTCTGCCTCCCTGGTACATAGCAGTTGGTATTGGTTCTTGCCTCGATTGTGGGACTTTATAGGGTGTGATTGTATCTTGAGTATATGGCAGCAATTGCTGTTTTTCCTTGGGTAATATAAGGAGAGAAAGAGCCCCCTAAAGGTAAAAGAGAAAACAAAAACAAAATACACACACACAAAACAGCAACAGGATGAAAGCAAGGGAAAAAAAAACTGAAAAACAAAACAACAACAACAGAAAAAAACAGATTGGATATTGTAGTCTATAATCTCAGAAAAAGGAGAGGAGAGAGAAAGAGAGAAGAAGAAGAAGAGAAAAAAAAAATCTGTAGCCTAATATGAGTATGACTTTAATGTCTTCTTTCAGCTTCTTGCCTTCAAGGCTGTTTGATAAATTCCAAGATACCACTGTTGGTTGTTATGCTGTACCTCAGGATTTAATTTTCGGCTTGTTTTGTTTTGAAGCTCTCTCCTTCTCCACACCCCTTGTTCTGGCCTTTTCCCTATTAATAAACAGTTCAGGGCTGGCTGTGGGTGTTTTGAGCTGCCTTCTGGTAGCGTTAGTGGTTACTAATCATGTTGCTAACCTCAATGTCGGCAGCTAAAAGCCACTAGCTGTTCTGCGGGAGAAAGATGAGGCCCTCCGCTACTGCAAAGATCCACAACCTCGGAAACCCTGCTCAGGGTCACCATGAGTCGGAACTGACTACACGGCCTTGGCAGGGTTTCTTGCATCAGATATTTTCCTGGACATGTCACAGTGCTTGGAATCTCCCATTACTGCATCTTCCCTTGGGGCCACCAAGACTCTTGCAGTTGAGTCTCCCATTGACTAGGAGGGCTAAGGAGTAGAGCCTGAAGCAGCAAATGGAGGAGGATAGAGAGAGGTTGCCCCTTCACTTGGACCCTTCCTGTGGCAGACTGGTCCTTGGAAAGAACTCTTCCAATAGCCTAGCCCTCTTAGGTCTTTGGAGCAAAAGGTTTGTTCTCAACTGATTATCTAAAAGTTTGCAGTTTGAACCCACCCAGCAGCACTGCAAAAGAAAGGCCTGGTAATCTGCTTTCATACAGGTTTTCTTAAAAAACGCTTTGCCCTGGAGTCATTTCTGACTCACAGCAAATCCATGTGTTTGAAAGTAGAACTGCAGCCCATAGACTTCAGTGGCTCCGATCTTTTGGTGAAGAACATTGAAAATACCATAGACTGCCAGAAGAACAAACAAGTCTTAGGAGAAGTACAGCCAGAATGTGCCTTAGAAGTGAGGATGGCAATCTAAGATGCAACTATTGGTCTCTCTGTGTGCTGAGGAATGAAGAGTGAAGAAAATAGAGGATGCTTGGAATCGATTGGTCCAGTGGACTAATGGGTCACTTACACATCAATCTCCATGATTCTGAGACCATAAGTAGATGGTGGCTGGCCACCACTACCAACTGCTCTGAAAGGGATTACGTTAGAAGTTACCAGATAGAATAGGATAAAATGTGGAACAAAACTGAAAATTATTTAAAAAAGACTGAGCTTACTGATCAGAAAAAGACACGAGGAGCGTGAGACTATGGTCTTCAGCCACCCTTCAGATCCGGAAGGGAACTCACCCTTTTGGCCCAGATTTCAGCGAAGCCGTAGATAGGTACATGGGAGGGCAGGCGGGCAACAACACTAGTAAGGTATGCTCACTATGGAATGGGCGACATTTACCCAAGGGCAGAGTTCAGAAGGATTGGAAAGAGGATGGAATGGAATAAAGAACCAGAGGAAGGAAGTGGGATAACTGTTGTTACGTGGAGGGGATTGTGATCCTTGAGATGAAACAAGGGGTGTGACCTGATGAATGTAAAACTGATGATCTCTCTAAACCATCACTCAATTCACAATAAGCAATTTCAAAAAAATAACTAAATAAAATGAGATGGGAAGACGTGTTCTCACATACTTAGGACATGGTATCAGGAGGGAATAGTCCCTAGAGAAGAACAGTATGCTTGGTAAAATGGAGAGTCAGTGAAAAAGAGGAAGACCCTCAGTAAGATGAGCTGACACAGTGGCTGCAGCTCTAGGCTTAAACGTAACGATTGTGAGGACGACACAGACCAGGCGGTGTTTCATTCTGCTGTAGATAGGGTCACTATGAGTGGGAACTGACAACATGATCAACAACAACATGATTTTTTGGAACTAGATCACAAGACATTTCTTTCAAGGTATTTATGGCTAGATTTGAACCACCAACCTTTCAGTTAGCTAGGCACTTATCCATTTGTGTCACCAGGGGCTCCCTATAAAGATTACAGCCAAGAAAACCCTGTGGGACAGTTCTACACTGGGGTCGCCACGAGTCACATTCGACTCAACAGCTAAGGGTTGGTTGGTTTCTTCTTATTTTGGCTTGGAACCTCTGGTTAGATTGAGAGAAAAGCATTCTCCCGTATACTCTTCAGTCAGGAAATCACCTGCCCTTCTCATTCCAGGTCTCTAAAAAGTACAGCGAGATTGAGGAATTTTACCAGAAACTGAGCAGCCGTTACTCCATGGCCAGCCTCCCCCCGCTGCCCAGGAAGGTCCTGTTTGTTGGGGAGTCTGACATCCAGGAAAGGAGAGCTGTGTTCGATGAGATTCTGCGCTGTGTCTCCAAGAATGCCGAGTTGGCAGGCAGTCCAGAGCTGCTGGAATTCCTAGGTACCCACTACTGTGTCCCAAGTCCCCATGGTCTGCCCTGGCTCAGTGGGAGAGGGTCTGAGGCTGCATTCTTCTGAGACCCGCTGGCCTTACTGATGTCCTTGGGCTGGGGTGGTGGGCAGAGGCTTAGACCTTGAGGAACTGATGAAGGGTATTCTTTGTTGTCTGAACCCACCCAAATCCCTCCTGGTCAGCTCCGTTCCTCAGAGTCTATCCCCAAGCATACAAAGTATCCACTGAAAGCTGCACTCTCACAGCTAGGCTGGTGACCTAACCCTGGAGAGACCTCATACTCAGCCTGGGCCCCCTCAGCTCTGGGTACAGCTGCAGCTTGCGTTGATTCAGCCCACCCAGCTCTTCCTAATAATGGAGGACCTTGAACCCTAACAGCCTGTGTCCCAGTCTCCTCTCTTCTTTTTAATGATCTCATTTGTAAAGTAGGGCAAATATTATCAAGTACCTCCTTGATAGGGTTGTAGTGGAAGTAAGTGATCGAATACAATGCAAAGCCCTTAGAACAGAGCCTTGGGCATAGTAAATGCTGTGTTTTACCACCACCAGTTGCTGTTGCATTGACCCCAACTCATGGCAACCCATGTGTGTCAGAGTAGAATTATGCTCTATTGGGTTAACATTGATATTTTTGGAAGTAGATTGCCAGAACTTTCTTCCAAGAGGCCTCTGGTAGACTCAACCACACCTTCCATCTTTCAGTTTGCATTTGATACCACCCCCAAGACTCCTAAGGATGATTTTTAAAAAAACAAATGCTCTCAAAGATATAGTAAAACCTGTGGAAGCCAGATTCTTTTTAAGGAGGAAACCTATCAGAGAAGGAAAACGTGTATTTTCTACTAAAATGAGTGATAATAAAGTAGTAAGATTTATACCTTGTTAAAGATGGAAAACTTGGGAAATTTCAAAAAAACAAGGCAGTCTCATTGTGTTCTGGCTCTCACAGGTTTTCCTGTATATTACTCAGTAACAGATTGGATGTAGATGGGCAAGTAGGCTAAACTATGCTCCTCATACTCCCCCAGGAAGGGTTGTTTCTTTTTGTTCTCAGTCTGATAACCCAAAAAACCCATGAGTCAATTCTGACTCATGATGACCCTTAGGACCGACTAGGATTCTGCAGCTCTAACTCTTATAGAGCACTTTATGGGTTCAAACTTCCAACCTTTTGGTCAGCAGCCCAATACTTAACCCACTGCACACAGATGTTGTGACAAATGCCCCGAGTGTCTGATGCTTGCTCTCCCTTTCTGCTTATACCTCATCGTGGACACCACCTGAGGGCCACACTTTGAGAAACGCTGACCTCGGCCAGTTTGTAAAGCAGCAATCACAGTTACTTCATCAGCATGCTCACTCTGTACCCTCATCAAGTCCACCGTCCAGACCCTCTCCTATGGTTGTGTAAAATGTCTCTGGAAGTGTCGGTTCTATTTGAGTCGCCCTCTGCACGGTCTAGTTTGTCCCCAGATCTGCCCAGCAGACGCAGGTTCTGCAATCTCTGCCTTGCATACAAGCTGTGACCTTGGCTGTTCCAAAACTCCTTCCTGCCTTTGTCTTATTCAGAGCATCCTTGTGCCACCGTTCTGCCCTCAGCTTCTCTGGTGTCCATGAATCCTCCAGGGGTTGTCAACCCACAGGAAACAGCTGTCACCTAGATTATGACCAAGCTTGGTCCCAAGGTGCTGCCATCAGGCTCAGTCACCTCACAATGGAGCACCCCCTCCACAGGTGGGTGCCAAGTTCCCTCTGTTCTGTCTTCCTCCACAGGTACCAAGTCCCCAGGGGCTGTGGATCTCCCCAACAGAGAAGCCTCTGTTGTAGATGCGGACAGCCAGGCAGGGGACGATGAGGAGGCTTTTGATTTCTTCGGGCAGCAGGATGGAATGGCGGGAGAGGGTCTGCCAATGCTGGGCCCAATGAGCAAGGATGCCAGGAATCCCTTGAAAGAGGAAGAGGAGGAGGAGGAGGAGGTGGCATTGGACCCTCTGGGAATCATGCGGTAGGTCTCCCCATTGCAGAGAGCATGTCCTTCTCCCGTGTTCTAGGGTTTCTGCAGAGGGCTCCTTCCTCGCTCCTGTGCATCTGTGATCTTACTAGGCACCGCAGAGTGGACACCAACCTCCAACCTTTCAGTTAGTAGCCAAGCGCTTATTCACTTGTGCTACCCAGGGTGTCCTCACTGTTCACAAGACAGGGATTCCGTCTTGGCCTGGTCTCCCTGTTATAATCCCTAGAGTAGTTATATTCCTGAGAACCATGGGGCCCATAAAGCACCGTGTGTGTAATGTAGGAAGGTGAGTGAACCCTGGGTGCCCTGGGAACTACGTCCCTCCATGCACAAACATGGACACTCACCAGAGAAGAGGTGGGTCAGCTGTGGTCTCAGTGGTCCCTTGGTTACTCATCCATTTCAGTCCCATTGCCTTCAGCCAGTCACTGAGTGGCTCCTGAGTCCCTGCTCTATGATTAGCCCTGTGCTGGGCTGGGAGGAGGGGCACAGGGCAGATGAATGGGCCAGAGAGCCACACATCTGCCCCCAAGGCCACTCCAGTGATCGCAGGCTGAGACCCCAGGGCAGGCCCTCCAGCCCAGAAGGAGCTAACTTCCCTGAAGTTACTCCCAGAGCTCTCACTTTTCCTTCTTGGTTGTCCAAACTTGCAAGAAACAAAGTGGGAAACTACTGTGTTTCAAGCAGACATGCTGGTAATTGTACCTAGCACCTCACATCTCATTGATGTCTTGCAAATAGCTGCTGTTACACTGTTTGCAGATTGAAGAAACTATGATCTATGGAGGCCAAGTACCACCCTAAGGTCAGGCATCTGGTAAACGCTGGCACTGGGGTTGGAGCGGAATTTAAGACAATGCCCTGTGGAGCCAGACTGCCTGGGCACAAATCCTGGCTCTCACAAACCCTTTTCCTGGTCTGTACCCCTGCAGTGTGTACCTCTCTTCTTCCTTTTCCTTCAACTAAATAGGGTAACGATAGTGCCAACCTCTTATGGCAATCGTGAGGACTAAATGAGGTAGAGTATGTAGATGTATTATCAGCATCCTTTGTTACAGTAATTAGCTTTGTTTAAAGCCATGCTGCTTCTACCTCACTGCTGCTATCGGATCAGACCCGAGACCAGAGAGGACATTCTTCCTCTCATTATTGAAAAGTTAAGTCAGCAGGTGAGTGAGGCATCTCTTTGTAGAGCCTGTTACAGAATGGAGTTGGAGCCAATTAGGAATCAAGCAGTGGGCACATTCAACTGAAGTCAATGTAAAAAATCAAATCAAGAAGCACTGCCCGGCTCTCCCGATGGAAGGTATGAGAGGGTGGGAAAGTGGGGTGTGTGCACTGAAGAGTGGAGCTGTGGGGGAGGCCTAGGTGCGGGAGATAGCATGGAAGGATGAAGCACCACATTCATAACCAGGTCCTCAGGAAACTTCGGCATCTCAACTAGGAAGTCAGCAAGGGCTAGGGCGGGAGCCAAGAGGGTCTGTAGAGTCTCGGTGTGTGGAGTACCCCTCCCAGCTCTTTGTACCTGGCCTTGTCCCGGATGGGTCAGAAGCCCTGTGGGAAAGGCAGTCAGGTAAGCAGGGTTATGTGGGGAGAAGGTCTAACCTGGAGAAGCTGGGACAAGCTTGTCAGAGCCATCCCTTATCAGCCTTACCCAAGTCTACAAGTCCTTCTCGGGCTTTATTTTGTTAAGGATAAGGCTTTGTTTGAACTCAACGTTCTGTTGTTCTGAGTAACCAAAACAGAGACAGACTGTGGTGTTTCGTGCCAGCCTTTGGCTGAAGGACATGCGTGCTCAGCAAAGCTACTCCTTTTTTGGGTAGGAAAATGCTTTGGGGTTGGCAAGTGCTTCCTTGAATTTCCTACTCCAGTAGCAGATCCACAGGGGGCATGTCAGCCAGCCAGGGACTACCTGCTTCCTGCACCCTCCCCACCCGGCTGCCTGCTCCATTCCAGACTCTGCCCTGCGGGGACCTTTTCCTGAATTCTGTTCAGCTTAACAGCTACAGAGAAACACACCAGAGACTCAGGAACCTGCCCTTCCAGTTTTTCTTGCAGTGACCAGTGTGATAATAGACCCCTGTCAGTGTTGCCACCTCTGTTAGTAATAACAGCTAACAGGTTTTGAGAGCTCACTGTCTTATCTAGAGCTGCTAGTATGGAAATACCACAAGTGGAGGGCTTTAACCACCCATTCATTCTCACAGTTTTAGGAGGCTCCAAGTGCTAGCTGGAGGGGAAGGCTTTCTTTCTCTGTTGGCTCACAGTTTAGGAGGAAGCTCCTTTCAGCCTTTGTAAGCCTGGCGTTCTCTGGAGATCTCCATGTGTCTTGGTGTCTATCTTTCCCTGGATCTAGGAGGTTGCCAGCTCAGGGACCTGGGTCCAAAGGACAGGCTCTGCTCCCAGCTCTTGTGTTTTAGTGGTAGCGGGACCCTTCTCTCTGCTTGCTTCTCTTCTCCTTTGATCTCCTGTAAGATCATAGGTATTGAGGGTCCCATTCCAGGAAAACTCCCTTAGATCTTATAATCGACTCCCTGGTCACATCAGATCACATCATGGGGCTCATAACATAGTTGCCACTGTATGTCATTACATAACTGCCAAACCAGAATCAACTTGGCCCAGCCAAGTTGACATGTATTTTGGGTGTATACAGTTCAATCCATGACACTTACTAATGCCAGGACCTTAGTTAGAATTTACTTGTATGATCTCATTTTAAGATGGTATTTCTGAAACTTTTGTTATGGCACACTGTAAAAAGTATATTGTATATTATGACTCAGTGTATACATGTGTGTACATGCACATACAGATATGTATATATATATATATATTATTGTTAGCTGCCATCCACATAAGGAGCTCAGGTAGTGTAGTGGTTACAAATCGGGCTGTGAACCGCAAGATCAGCAGTTCGAAGCTACCAGCTCTATTCCACGGGAGAAAGATAAGACTTTCTGCTCCAGTAAAGATTTATAGCCTCGGCAACCCTGTACAGGGTCGCTATGAGTCAGAACCGACTCCACAGCACATGACAACAACAACAACAATAGCCGTCCATATATATATATATATTATTGTTAGCTGCGCGCGCGCATGTGTGTGTGTATGTGTGTGGAGAGAGAGATGCAAACTGAAACAAAAGCTTCAAGAACTCATACTAAGATAAAGATTTACACCCTCGGAAACCCTATACAGGGTCGCTATGGGTCGGAACCGACTCGACGGCACTTAACAACAACAACAACAACACATGCTATGTCGTTAGATGCCATCGAGTCGGTACCACCCATAGCGACCCTGTACACAACATAATGAAACACTCCCTGATCCTGGGCCAACCTCACAATGTGCTCCAATGTTTTTCATTCTTATTTCATTTAATTATTTTTTTAAATTGCCTTCACAGTACATTGGGAAATGGTGTTCCTTTGTTGTTAACTGCTGCCTCATAGTGGCCTTATGCACAGTAGAACCAAACACTGCCCTTTCCTGTACCCATCCTCACAACTGTTATGGTTGAGCCCATTGTTGCAGCTGCTGTGTCAAGCTATCTCATTGAGGGTCTTCCTCTTTTTTTTTTGCTGACCCTCTACTTTACCAAGCCTGATGTCCTTCCAATAATATGTCCAAAGTACATGAGTTATGCTACTCTTGCTTCTAAGGAGTATTCTGGCTGTACGTCTTCTAAGACAGGTTTCTTTGTTCTTCTAGCAGCTCATGTTATATCAGTATCTTTCACCATAATTCAAATACATGGATTCCTCCATTGTCTTCCTTATTGTCCAGCTGTTGCATACATACAAGGCTACTGAAAATACCATGACTTGGGTCAGGCTCACCTTAGTCCTCAAAGTGACAGCTTTGCTTTTTAACACTTTATAGAGGTCTTTACCTCATATGGATGTGAAAGCTGAACAGTAAATAAGGAAGATCGTAGAAGAATTGATGCCTTTGAGTTGTGGTGTTGGAGGAGAATACTGAAAGTACCATGGACTGCCAAAAGAACCAATAGATCTGTTTTGGAAGAAGTGCAACCAGAGTGCTCCTTGGAGGCCAAGATGGCTAAGCTTCGTCTCTCATATTTTGGACACATTGTCTGGAGAGAACAGTCACTGGAGAAGGATGTCATGCTGGGTAAGGTGGAGGGTCAGAGAAAAAGAGGAAGACCCCCAACAAGATGGATCAGCCAGGTGGCATCATTGATGGCGTCAAGTGTGGCAGCAGTAGTGAGGTTGGCCCAGGATCACATTGTTTCGTTCTGCTGTGCATAGGGTTGCTATGAGTCGGTTCCGACTCAATGGCCCCTGACAACAACAACAACAACAGAGGTCTTTTGCAGATTTGTCCAGTGCAATATGCTACCATTCAATTTCCTGACTGCAGCTTCCATGAGCGTTAATTGTGGATTCTAAATGGTGCTCTAGGTAGCTGACATCAACATCAACCTTACTTTGTGTTTGAAGACACTGAAGTTTAGGAGGCCAAGTAAATCATCCAAATTCCTACAGTCAGCAGATGGCAGAGCCAAGACTAGATGCTACTTGTCTACTGCTGTCCCACATTCTGGTCTTTTCAGCAGTCTGGGAGGTGGGGAGGAACTAGAATCACCCCTTTCATGGATGAGAATGTCACAGACAGCATTGAGGAGGGACCTAGTCATAGCTTTGTGTGTGACAGAGCCGTTCCTTTAAGTGGGATTCCCCTAAGCCTTTCTGGGGACCCCCAGGTGAGCTTGCTGACCTGCAGCCCTGCCCTGCAGCCTTGTGGTGGAGAACATTGTATTCTTTGCAAACAACTTTTGTTTTACATGCATATTTCTTCTCCCCCTGCCCTCCATTCATCTGCAGACTTACTTTCCCAGCTGTGTACCCCCATCGCCCCCAACAAGGCTGAGCTTACCTCTGGACCCTTCTGGAGCCGCTGCTATTTCTGGGCACACAGGACTTGGTCTTTCTTACCATGGCCACAGCGGGGAGCTGTTGCTC